CCTCAGCCAAACCAGTTTCCAGAACCATGCCAAACAGCGATGGGGAGTTCCACCCATCGCTGTTAGAGCCTTGGTGCAAAATTACCACAAGGCAGAACGACCTTGCCCAGCGATGGGAAGTCTATCCCATCGATGGGAACCCAGCGATGGTAAGGGTATACCATCGATGGGAAGGCATGACCGTTGGTGGTCATTAAAGGTTGATTCTTTCCTTGTTTGGAAGTCAACCTCCCACCCAGCGATGGGAAGCTTGTACCCATCGATGGGTAGGTGACCGTTGACTTCAAAACAGAAGAAAAATTGGCTTACCAGCGATGGTTGATTCTAAACATCGATGGGAAGCCAATATTCTGCAGATCCCAAATCTTTTCAATCCCATAAATCAAGCCAATCACCCCTTTAATGCATTGGTCCGTTGGAGCCTTCTTTGGCACTATAAAAAGGGGTGTTTGGGTCTGCTTTTCTCACCAATTCACTTCACAACATCTATACTTTCATTACATTCAAATATTATCATTTTCCATAGCTTTCTAGAGCCACTTGTGTGAAGGTTGAGTTGTTCTTGAGCGTACTTAGTTTACTCATAATCTACTCTATAAGAGAGTCTCGTTCTTGAGTGTACTTGTGTTCTTAGACACATTGAGAGATATTATCTCTCGCGGTTGATTCAAAGGAAGGTCTGTTTCCTTTGAAGGATTCGTTGAGGTTTGTGTGACTCGAACTCTCAAGTTGTAACGGTTTGTTATGCACCCGTAAGCTTAACGAGTTAGTAGTGTAGCTCGAGAGAGTCTCTCGGGAGGCTGGATTAGCCACAAGTTGTGGTGAACCAGGGTAAAATTCGGTGTGCCTCTTACTCTTCTCTTTACTTCTCTCGTTAATTTTTAGTTCCTGCGATTTCTACGATCAAACGCTATTCACCCCCCCTCTAGCGTTGGTCTTTTATTCTAACACACGAATGATGACGGCCTCGTTGTTGAGGATCCAATCGTCGCCACCGTACGTCGCGATGTCGTCACTGCTGATGGGCAGGCCTGCGACCCGAGCAAAGGTAGGCAAATCAATCTCCATGTTGTAGAGATTGATGCTACTGCGTAGAGATTGATGCTACTACGTTGGAGATTGGAGTAAAATGCCCGGACATAGGCGGGATTGTAGGAGGTGCGGCTCTTGGAGACGAAGGGCCACAAACCCGACGTTTGAAGTTGATCGTCGAGGTCGTGGTACCCCTTTTGTTGGGGAAATAATTCCAGGAGCACTCGAGGCGGACAAATTGGGCGTTTGGTGAAGTGAGTGAGGAAGCGCGTGAGTTCTTCCTCCGATCCGAACTCCAATAAAGATCCGTCCAAATATGGGAACGAAGGAGGTGCGGAGCTTGAGGGTTCGGAAGTGGCCTTCTTCTTGGAAGCCTTTGTCTTCTTTCCTCCGGCCATCAGGACGTTTTTGAAAAAAAGATGATGAAATTGGATTAGGAGATTGAAATTTGGATTAAAATTGTGATAAGGAATGATCAAATGTGATGTATATTTATAGGGGAGTAGAAAACTGTTTGAATTTGAAAAAAATGGTTGGTGGGCATTTAATTGGGTGTCCAACGGCTCTGAAATTTTTGAATCGCAGCAGGCTTCCTAGTGATGGGTAGAACTTCCCATCGATGGGAAGGTCGCCACTGGAAACCAAGGAGAAATTTAAGGTTGCCTTCCCAGCGATGTTTGGATTCTCTCATCGATGGGAAGGTGGCTTCTGGAAATCTGTTAAAAGTTTTAAAAAATTAGTGTCAAACACATAGAGATGGGAGAAAGTTCACATCAATAGGTTAGGAGGTTCTGAAAGAATTTTTAAACAAAATTCATTCACCCAGCGATGGGATAAAATACCCATCGATGGGTAAAGGGTTTCTGGAAATCCGATAAGTATTTTTAAAAAACAGAGTCAATCACCCATCGATAGGAGGAAGTTTCCATCGATGGGAAGAGGGGTTCTGAAAAGAAGAAACTTCCCTCCCAGCGATGGTATAACCGTCCCTGCAAAAAAAGAGTTAGAAAACCCTCCGACGCTTAAGTTAGTAAACGTTCAATCAGAGATAAAAGAGTAATAAAATGCACAAATTAGATCATCGAGGAGTCAAGGATTCCGAGTTCACTACGAATGCAGAAGAACGACTCTTTCTATAAAGGTTTTGTGAAAATATCGGCTAATTGGTTGTGTGTTTCAACAAACTCAATTTCGACATCACCTTTGAGAACATAATCTCTAATGAAATGGTGCCTAATGTCAATGTCTTTCATCCTTGAGTGAAGAACGGGCTTCTTCCTCAAGCTTATGGCGCTAGTATTATCACAATGAAGTCGAATGTGACTGATACTAAGGCCATAGTCCACGAGTTGTTGCTTCATCCAAAGGATTTGAGCACAACAACTACCGGCGGCAACGTATTCCGCTTCGGTTGTGGATAACGCAACACTGACTTGCTTCTCACTAAACCATGACACTAAAGAGCTACCAAGTAAGTGGCAAGTCCCACTCGTACTTTTACAGTCAAATTTGCAACCGGCAAAGTCCGAGTCGGAATAACAAACGAGATGACACGAAGAGCCTTTTGGCTACCACAGTCCAACGTTAACCATGCCAACAAGGTATTTCATGATTCGTTTCACCGGCCTAGCGGTAAGATAGAGAAGGGATCCGATCATACCTCAATATTTTTTGAATTCTACTTCCTTACCTTTTTCATCTTTGTCGAGATGGTCGGACGTGCTCTGTAACGCCCCAAAATATACCCTAGAATTATTAATGAATAAATAATCAATTAATCAAATTTGTTTTGATTAAAATAAATTATTGTTGGGCTTTGGGCCGATACGAAATTTGTTTTGACATCTAATATCAAAATCTGGATAAGTCTCATAGAGATAAATCCAATATGTGGACTATTTGTGTGGTCTTGATTGGGAACCTGAGTACAGACCCAAATCAAGAGTAAATAAAGAATTTGTTTAGAATGTAAATATTGAATTGATTTGTTGAAATAAATCATTAGAATAATTGATATGAATTAAATGAGAGAACCTTTTATGAGAAAGGTCAATTAAACCAATTTTGACTCTGTTAAAGTCAAGCACCCAAAAATATGATGTCGGAAAAAGTATTACAAATAA